TAGAAAAGAAGGATATGCAGAAGACAGGGAAGAAGACCAAAGAAAGAGAGAAAAAAGAATAGATTTTTAAAACAATTATAACTTTATTATTCAAGGTGCTAAGATTTGGAAAGCTTTAGCCATCTTAAATGGTGCAAATCTAGAAGAGACCCAACATTTATAAACCATCTTATAGTTTACTTCATAAACCAGGTAGCATCATGATCAAATTTTATAGCGCAATTTCTAAATCTCAGAGGCTTACAATAACCAATATTATTTCTCATTCACATTACTTATCCTATAGATTTCGGCAATGGTTATATATCATGCTGTCTTCCTTTTAATATGCACAGTGAAAAAGGAGGTCTTCCTACTCAAGACCGACACTCTTATGCCAGATCAGAGAAAAAGAAAAACAGTCGGACTGTGATATAGTTTGATACTTCTGAAAAATAGTGGCCTGTGATAATCCCACTCATTTTACTGACTGCAACAAGTCACATGGCCAAGACTGATAGTAAAGCATGGGGAAAAATTATATTCTTGCAGGCACTGACAGAAAATAATTAAGAACAATTACTACAGTGCTCTCTTCATGAACATATCCATTCTATCTTCTGGTTCTAAATTTTTGTTTCTCTTTTCTTCCTTGTATAACATGTACTCTTTCCCTGTCCTGGAAAGAATCTCCAAAATCAGGGGCTGGGGATTTAGCTCAGCGGCACCTGCCTGGCAAGCGTGAGGTTGTGAGTTTGATTCTTGGTACTGGAGAAAAAAAAAAAAAAAGAAACTCCAAAATCTAATCAAACCAATCATATCAAGCTCAAAATTTTATATCACTTACATCAGGGCCAGACAGAGGTCCTTTTAATCTACAACCCTACGAGGTTAAAAGGAAAGTTACCAGCGTCCCCCATCACACACATATGGGAGTTGAACAGGGACACGATAACCCCGTGAAGAGGTCCCATTAAGAAAGAAATGATGATGGGCCCACAGCAGCCCCTGGTCTGCAGCATTTCTGAAAAGTTTCAGTAACTTTGATCAAACTTTACAAGATCCTCCTTGCTGACAGAAAAGCTTCCTTGCGTAAGCCCTGCTCTCGCTCCCTGGGTGTTGCTTGCTAGACCATTTACCATAGAGGTTCTTGACTCCATGCCGTAGTCATCCTTGGTCATATATGAAGACTGCATTGGAAATGTGCCTTTCTGAGGGCTGTGAGCTTCCTAAGACTACTTGCTATTATCAAAGACTAAGAGAGCTAAATTGCTTGAAATCTCAAATAGTCACGTAGTAATCTAGATAGGTGGCTCCTCTGACAGTACAATTTTTGCTGAAACTGAGTATGCTGCCCACCTATTTAATTCCAGATGACAAAAGTATAACTATAACCATACTGATAACTCCTTTTGAAGCTTATCTCTCATTAAGTTTTAATACAATGAAAAGCAAAGGATAATGATACAATATACATGTAATGTAGGTACATAAGTCGTATGGATAACAGAGGTATTGCAGAATATTTATAGACCTAAATGAAGCTTAGAATACTTCTGAATATGCACCCGTCTATATACAAGCTCATGCATAGATTTGGAGCACTGGAATGATTTTTCTTATGGTGTGCTCCACCTCTGTCCCTTTCTCTGTAATTAACATTTGTTCACTTGTCTGTTCTTTTCCCTTTCTCAGACAAATGTGCTTTAAACAAACTTGCTTAGGATGCCTGTAATGAGGAAAGGACACTAGAGATGACCTGCCCCACTCAAAGTTCATTGGCGCAGGGCTCGACTGAACAGAGGAGCTCATCAGAGTCCTTTCTGAGAATTTGGCTTGAGATTCCAAGACTCTCCTTAGTCTCTGCTGTAGGTTTGAATCTGGAGAACGTCACTCAATTTGTGTTTTCCTGGACATAGAAGAGCCAACAGTCGGAAGAGAAAAAAAAAAAAAAAAGAACATGTACACTCCTGGCAATTGAGAAATTTATCTTACTTTAAGCTCTGGGATATATTCCTGTTCAGAATGATCTTTGCTTGAGCTATGTCATGTGGGTTTCTACAAATTGCAATCCAATGATCATTTAGATAACCTTTTACATTTATCAATTTCCTTTAATAAATTCTTGAGTTTCCATGTAACTGATGCTAAGAAAGACTTCCTCAAAAATAGAAAGATTTAGAAAAGATAAAAAAGACATAGTAAAAGGATTCAGAGTATTAACATCTTAGATAAGTACACAACTTCCTATGTGAAGGTAATACTGTAAGTACATAAAGTATTGTGGCAATTCAAAGGATCATGTAATCAAATCTTATTGAAGTGTCAACAAACTTTTATGAAAAAGTGTCCTAAATATTTTGCAGTTGAAATAAAGTGATGAGATGAAAATCTGAGTGGAAGAGATGATAGTTTTCCTTGAAATGAGTGAGTGGGCTAAGGAAATTCAAGGTGTGTTATGGAGCACCATGGAGTTTTATTTGGTTGAAACATAGGAAACGCATCAGAAAGAACAGGCAAATACCAGGAAAGGCAGTTTGGGATAATAATACAAAGAACAGCAGATGTAAATATGCATCTAATTAAGTAGGTAGATAATAGATACCATTGGCAGAAATTACATGACCATTCAAAAGTGTGGAAAAGCACAATGTAAGTTTGGACAGGAAAGAAACAATAGACAGGAAAAATGATGGTCCATTGAAAAAAAGCCATAATGTGTTAAACAGTCTCTGTGCGAACAAGAAGTGTGTAACTGGACAGACAATACAGTTAGAAGCTGGAAGGCATTACCACTGATTGGATATACATACATAGAAGAACCAAGATTCAAACAGGGAAAAGCTTTCAATCTTGGCAAAAGAGACGTTATGGCTGGTACCTAGATGTCCTCCCAAAGCCTCAGGAACTCATAGGTGGGGCTTTCTGGAAGTGGCTGATCTAGGCTGTGTGAATGTGGATTAAAGGTGTGATACTGGGATTAAGGGTGAGTGAATTAGTTCACTGACTGGTTTAGCATAGTTCTTGGCACGGATAATGGAAGCCCCACCCTGGCAGTCAGTGGCACCAATCCAAAGGCTTACAGCCTGGATGGAATATAAGGGGAGAGAGAGAAGGCGTGCTCAGGACGGCTGCTGCTGCTGCTTGTGCCTTGCTGTCTCCTGCCTGGTTTGCCATGGACTGTTTGTCCTCTGCAATGTCCCTCTGCCGTGACACTGTCTATTAACTATGAGATGAATGAACCTTTCCTCCTTTAACTTTGGCTGTCAGGGTTTTTGTCTCAGCTATAAGAAAGTAACTAAGACATGAAATAAGGACAGTACTGATGTGTTAGAGGGAAAAGGAGTTTATTTGGAACTTGCTAACTTAAATATGCCTGTGGGACATCCAGGTGGAGATAGATATTAGGTGACTGAGTATTATAGGCCTTTGAACTTCAATCTAGGAGAGTACTTAAATATCATTCTGTCTGAGTCCTTCATTTTAAAGATAAGAGAAATGAGGTCTACGTGCTTGGTCCGAAGTAACAAGACTTATAAAGATGACTGAAGAATGTTGTTGATAGATGTGTAAGGAATAATAATTCCAAGTTGACCAAGAGACATAAATATTCCAACTGAGCAAGAAGCACAGAAAGAGGCTATATGACAATTGTCAGTGCAGAAAGAGTGTAAATGCCGGTCACGGGCAGCATGCCATGCCCGCTGTGTGCTAAGTACCACACTAAACGCTGCGCCACGCTCCGGAAGACATGCACAATGCCCACACCATGTGCCTGGGGAAGCATGGCACTCTGCTCAGGAGGGCAGCCCAAGGCCACACGAATAGACCGCACGAGGGCTTCCAACCTCTGATGCCACAGAGAGACCTGGAGCTGTCAGAACCAATCAAGGAAGAAGCCAAGTGTCACCAATCCGAAATCAGACCAAACTGCAACTAAATGTTGGAGAAATTGTATTACATCTTAATACCAAAACTGAGATTTATAATTTTGTTAATAAATTCTACCAAGCAACTTATTGTCAGAAGTTGGAAGTGCCTTGCTTTCTTCATTCAGAGCAATTAGATTCTATTTTCTAAACTTTACTTACTAATGTTGCTATTAAATATGTTCTGGAAATACAGTATATGCGAGTTTTCAAATTAACAAATCAAAGATAGTGAAATAAATATGTGTTAACTGTCATCTTTACTTTTTAGGGGCTGCTATCCTCTTTTAATGAGAAACATTTTTAAGGCAGAAGTAGAAAAAGAATATTAATTAAAAGTTTTAAGTGTCTAGGCATATGTTATTGCAAAATAACAAAACACAAATATGTTCCTTTGAGAGATTTGGCTATGATACACTGTTGGCTTAAATATATATTTGTTATTAAAATGAAAAATATTTTGAGTAATGTAGTAGTAACAGCATCAGTGGAAGATTCGGGTGAGTTTCTAGAATAACATTCAGATTCTGTGTATCGTGTCTTCTGACCCTCATCCTATCTGAGAGGAGTGAAGAAGACAAGATAGATAAAACTGGAAAAAATCTCATCGATGGCCATATAGACTCTCGTCTCATGACATTGCCTTTGACCTATTTACATACAAATGAAGAAAAGCCCAGCCATTTTAATTTGGAACTTTTGCTTTGACAGCTAGGATTTGCATTCCATACCAGGCAGTAGGTTATTATTCTCAGGGTTTCTGCAACCAGATGTAGTTTAGCTCAAGTCAGACTTTCAAAGGACCAAGTCCAAGGGCAAGAAGGAAAACACCTTACAACATCACTGTGGTTAGGAGGGAGTGGGAAAACAAGTTTCCTCTCAGGGGACAAGTGTTCGCAGGGTGCCTACACTTCAGGACACACAGCTGGGGCCACTAAGACTTGAATAGGGCATTCTTCACAGTCCCACAATGCATTGCTTTCAGAAGTAGCATTGCCAACAATTCTGCAGGTTATGGAAATATGAAAAATGTTTGGGCTAGAAACACTCACGCAAGCTCTCACTGAGAAAGAAGAACACACACAGCCAATATCCTTGAGCAAATATATTCTAAAGAATATTTCTTTCATATACTAATGACTCATTTTCCGCATTGGAAAAAAAGTCCTTCCTCACAAAGGTCAGTGTCAAGATACTGAGGTAAGCCTGCCAAATAGAAAATCTCCAACCAGGAAATATCTTTATCTTCTTGCAGCTACAGAATAGCTCCAAGGTCACCTGGAGGAAAAACAAAGCAAATGATTTTTTTTAACCAGTGCAAAGAAATCACAATGACATATGTCCAAACAGCAGTCAGTGTAGTTTACTGAGACGTATCAAAGAATGTGGCATTTGGATTTTGCCTATAGAGCATTCAGGGTACTGGTAATTTTACTAGGAATGAATGGCCTACAAATTCTATTCTATTAATAAGGTAAAAACAACATTTAGAAGCAACTTTGTGGTATAACATAAGAGAAATTGTTTTGAAATATGTAAGCTAGAATTATAATTCTGGCTGAGAAAATCACCTGCTGTGGGATGCTGGTGAATTTGTGTCTGTGGACATCAGATTCCTAATTGAAATTCTAACATTGTCTAGATCTATCAAACAAATGACATATATTGAATTTAGCAAGTTGAACCAAAATTGACCCGCAGGGAAGAAGGGCGCTCATGGTGTCAGCTCAGAGTCTAGAGACTGCAGAAGCGAGGGAGTGAGAGACCTGTGCTCTGCGAACCTAGGAAACTGCTTGATTAGGCTCCTGTTGGGGTCACCGCTGCCCCCGCACACTGGGCACTAAATGTTGCCACCACAACGCGTCTTCATCTGTTCCTGCCTCTTTGTGGATAGCTGGTCTTTGTTTTTTGTTTTTTTTGTTTTTTTTTTTGGTTTTTGGTTTTTCTCCGGTACCAGGAACCGAACTCACGACCTTGCGCTTGCCAGGCAAGCGCTTTTGCTGCTGAGCTAAATCCCCAGCCCCCGGATAGCTGGTCTTGAGGCCGAATTCCTGACAGAATTGTCTGATTTCTCATTTTCAGTGCACTTCTTCAAGCCAGCTCCCAGAGTTCTGGAAGGAGTCTGATCAGATCCTCAGAGCCAGCTCAGAGGGAGGCTGCCCTCAGCCTTCTAAGAAGGGCCGCAGAGGGGAAGACTTCTCAAGGAGAAGTTCACATGCAAAATTCTCTCCCCCAAATCAGTACCTTCTTCTCACAAGATTATTCTAGGAATGAAATTAGAAAATGCATGTAGATTATATAATCATTGTTGAGCCCAACCTGCTTTGATATGAATGGAGGAAACAAGTGTTTTGTGTAAAAAACAATTACTTAGGAAGCTAGTTGAAGTGAATACATACAAATACAAGCACACATGTGCATACATCATGTATTCTGTACGTATTATATACATATTATAAATCTGAAGTTACCATTTCTTTATTGGTTAGTACTTTACCTTCTTTACTGAAAGAAATAATCCATCTGGTGGCATCTTTCATGGATCCAGGCTAAGGAGTGGCTAATACAGAACAGCAAGAGCAGAAGCTGAGAAGGATGAATGGGTATGGGCCGCAAAAGGAAGGTGAAGAATTGGAGCAAGGAAGTGAGAGAGTGCAGTGTAATATCTGGAGCCTTGACTGCTTCCTTGGGAATGTAACTTCCCAACAAACACGCAGAAGGAGGAGAGCTGGCTTGGCCCCAAGACTGCAGGCGCTGGAGTGGGGAGGGGGTGGGGAGAGGCGTGAGAGTCCGCAGAGCGCTGGCTTAGGGGTAGGAAGGGCGGGGTCTGGGCAGGGGAGCCGAAGCATAGGCCAGAAGGGCCAAAGATGGGCAAAGAGCTTATCGTGGAATTTTTGGACAAGCGTCTAGGGAAGTCAGTTCGAGGGAAGTCAATCAGAAAGCTTCCTCTTGAAAATCTTTTTGTGGGACATTTATTGACTGTAACCTTAGAAGAGGTGACGTGCAATGTACCAGCCTACTGTTCAGGTATCAGGACAGCAACCTTTGGGAGTCAGATAATTTCTAATATACTGACAGAAATACTGATTTTTTTCTTTAATAAATACCCATTATCACCTTATAAAAAATTGAGAACCATATGGAACACTTACTTTTTACTTTACTTTGAAATAATGCAAATCTTGAAAGTAGTGCAAAAGGAGTATATAAACTCTTCTGTACTTCCAGCCAAATTCCCCAGTTGTTACAAATTTGCTACATTTGTACTGTCTCACCTGTCATTTTCCTGAACTATTCCAAAGTAAGCAGTAAATAATGTGAGGATTTCCCGCGTATTTCCCAATATTTCAACAAATATTTCCTAAGAATAAGTACGTACTCTGACAAAATCATGGCACAATTATCACACACAGGAAAGCTGACATCTACAAAACATCATTATTTAAAATACCATCCATATTCAAATTTTGCAAATTATCTCCATAGTACCCTTTATAGCTCTTTTTCCTGTCCTATGTTCAAGATCCAATTAAAGATCATACATCATATTCAATGATTCAGTGTCTTTTTGCCTCTTTTTTCCTGAAAAAGTTTCTCAGCCTTTTTTTTGTGACACTGACTTTGAAAATAGGCTTTTTCAGTTTGGGTTTTTCTGATGCTTTTCATGGTTAGACTCGCGCTTTTCTGGCGGGAATGCGGTAAAGTAGTGTTCTGGCTTAAGTGCACGACACCGGGAGGCACATAGATTGTGCCTATTCCATGACTGGTAAGGGCAGCAACCCCTTTGCTCACCTGGGTAAACTGGTCTCCCCCAGTTTTGCCAAGGTAGTTCCCTTTGTCTCTTCTCAATGGATAGCTTGTGGGGAGACAGTATTCCTGACACTGTGTGAACGCTGCTCCCCATCCAAGTTCATGTTCTCCTTTCAGCACCACTGATGCGCCCCGGCTGCCTCAGCTGTTACCGTAAGGCATACAAAACCCTGATATTTATTAATTAGGGACCTGTGGTAGTGAAGAGCTCTGCTTTCTCCTCCATTCATGTACTTAGGTGTGTTTGTAAGTGTTATCTCCCTGGGCCCATGCATTCTACTCTAGACAGCAGATTGGAATCCCTTAGCGTTATTCCAGGATGAGATTTTACATGTACGAGTATGTGGAAATACAACTGTTTCTTGAGATATAATAGCAAAATTAGGCTGGACGAGCCTGAGAAGGGCAACAAAGGTAACCGTCTGCTAGACGCCTTTCCCAGGGAAGGAGGTGCTGCACCCTGGGCCTCCATATGCTGCCTATAAATACAGGGCTCAGCAGAATTTCAGTGCAAGTTGCGCCATGTTTAATAGCGCCAGTGTGAGAAAGAGAAATAAGTAAGGCAGAAAGAGTTCTTCACGTTCCCTCATAGAACTCCGTAAGCCAAATGTCTCCAGCTGCTCGACAGACCACACCCTGCAACTCCTGGTGACATCAGAAGTTGGCCCCAGAACGTTCCTGGTTACTAGAGAAATGGCTGCAGATTCAAAGGTAACAATCTAAAGGAAAGAAAAATCAAAGCAGAGCAAACAACAAGACGAACCTTGCAATAGTCAGAAGAAATGGACCGAAGAAGAGAAATTTGGTTTTGAAAGATTATCAAATGGCGAAACATAAAGCAAAGAGTAAACTAACCAGCAGCTGATGATAATAAAGCCAGGGAGCGAAACAGAATCATGTCCTGGGGCAATCAGAGCAGAGACCCGGCCACTTCCTCCTAACTCTGTAGGAAAAGGAGGAGAAGACCTGGCGGCCCTGCCCAGGAAGGCTATTGCGCTCCAAGCGGACTCAGACAGGAAAGGTGTGAGCACTCAAAAACAAACAAAGACCAAACAGCAGCAAAACCCTTTTCAAACATAATATACATACGTGAGAGTTTTCAGTGAATTTCCACAGTTGAACAAATCTGTGAAAAACAACACCCTCACAAAGAAATGTGTCATCAACACAGCATCCTAGATATCACGAAGGGGAACTCCTAGCGTGGGTAAAGTTGCCTTTATTTCTATTCCATGTAAATGCAATCACACTACATCCCTTTTTGGATCTGTTTTCTTTTGTTCAAAGTTATATTTGTGAGATTTTCTATGCTGCTTGTGGAGCTATTTTCTGAATTTTTAGTGCTGTGTAGATTTATACTGTTTGAATATGCCACAATTTACTTGGTCTTTAGTCTAATGATGGACATTAGAGTGGTTTTTAGTATTAAGAATAAATTGCCATGAACATTGTAGTGCATTTCTGTTGGTAAGTATATGAGTGCATTTCTGCTTAGCATATAATACCTTAAAAATGAAATTACTAGGCCATAAGTGTGTTTCAGTATATACTGTCACATATTTCTTCCAGCTAACTACACAAATTCAAATTGCAACCAGCCTTATGCTGCTTTCTTCTTTTGTTTTCTTTTTTTGTTCCAGGGACTAATTTCAGGCCCTTATACAAGCTAAACAAATGTTCTACCACTGAGCTGCACTCCCAGCTCCAGACATTTTTTTTTTTATATAAACACAAGGGTTAACAATAACAGTTATCAAGGAATTAAGTTGCTTTCCTATAAGAAAGAACAGGATTAGGGCACACATTACTACCCAAGAATTGTGGTGAAAACACGAATGAGCAAACATAATGTGCTGCAAGGAAGCAAAGATGAGAAACCATTTCTCACCTCCATAACAGAATTATCTTACATTCACCAATTTCAGACTGTCACTTTTGTATCTCCATAAAGTCTAGTATAAAAACTGGATTGAAGAAATGGTTGCCACTTGTAAAATGTCATTTTGAAAACTCTGATTTCCATTGTAATATTTGGAGTTCTTAAATAATTCAGGTAGACAAAGACACAACTGTGGTTCAAGAAAGTTAAGCAATTTGCTTTTGACTGAAAGAAAACCCAGGAAGTCAAATCTGTTAGGGTTTATGGCCCAAACACTGCAAGTCAGTAATGATACCCTTGGCCCTTTGTTTGCCTGGAGGAATTAATTGCTAGATTAGGTTCAAATGCATTGGTTTTCTTTGCACCACATGATATCAAAGTAGCAATTAATTTTGAATAATCAGAAAATTTTAGAAAAGAAACATCTAGAATTGCTTTCTTCTAACCCACTGCTATGAAATTCAGTGGCTGTTTTTCATGTTTTGTTCACTGACCACCGCCTCTGTGACCAAATTCACACTGAAATCAACAGAATGAGATTTTAAAGCACATTTGGAACACTCAAGAGCAACATAAACCAAACGTTTGACAATTTAGTTGAAGTGAACATAAATCATAAACTCGAGAAAGGCCACATGAGCACAAGAGTGGAAAACAATCAAATAACCCAGTAAGAAGACAATTTAGGGAACTTCACAGTAGGACAGACAGTAAGTACAATGAAAACCCAGAAGGCTGAGCCCATGTGGGTGGAGTTTCTAAGAAAAAACTTGCAGAATAAGCAGAATTGGAATTAAGGTCTGAGGGAAAGATGGAATGTGGGTATGTAGCAATTCGGGCAAAAAGTAGAAAAGGCAGTGGGGAGACACAGGCTGGTGAGGGGACAATGAGCAGCTCTCCTTTGTTGAAGCGGACTCGGAGGCCAGCCCCAGGCAGTAATTGCCCGGCCCAAAGCCAGGGTCTGAAGACGGGCTTTGGAATGTGTGGCATCTCCATTCCTGTAAGCGTTTACGGCTCAGGCCAGTCCAGGTCTCCATGAACAGGAGAACTGTGGTAATGTCGTGGGCACACCCAGGGCTTCCACCTTTGAAAACTGACGCTTCAAATGTGAAAGTTAATCCTAGCTGCTAAAAGGCTGCTGTCAGGTCTGGATCTCGCAGATCTGTCCCATGATACACAGCCAGGCGCCTCCGGATCACATGCCGCGGTGCAGGCTGACGCAACGTTGAGTGCAGGATGTCCAGTGCTGTGAGCACGAGCTGTGCATAAATATGGAAAGAAAAATTTAGCCGGGAGGGAGGTCAAGCATAGTCATAACTTTTAAGCACCTCAAGGAGGTACTGAAGATTTGGAGGCAGAACCATTCCCAAAAAGTATGGGTAGAGTGAGTGCAGGAAAATAATAGGGCATATACAAAGAAACTTAGTGGAAATAGGGATCTATCATCCAGGAAAAGCATGATTATTCACTCTGAAAATAAATTTTCTTGGGCAAGGAACAGAAGATTAATTTCAAAATGCATCTTTGCGATGCAGGCCTACCATGTTCAATAAAAGGAATACACACTATCATTTATTTGCACAAAGTACTTATAGTGAATGTTGCTCTTCATTGCTGGCATTGGGAAATGTAGGCTTCTTGCACTGGTTGGACAAGACACTGTTTCTTTATATTTTAATTAACTTCTTTTGGTATAAACCCCATATACCGATTGCTTTGCTTTCAGTTCAAAACTTTGTGTGTGGGAAGAGATGGTTACCTTAGAATGTATCTTAGAATATAAACAATAAAAGGAATGTTAAAATTTAGTGTTTTTAAATTTTGGGTGGTTGTTGCTTAACAACAGGACATGAATCATACTCTAAAAAACTAAAGTTCTAATTTTGAGAAAGTGCTTTAATATTCCTTTGGAAAGTTTTTCTCTTACTGTTGCCAGGTGTAACCAAAACATTCCCA